AAAACAACCAGTTTAACTTCTTGGTGACTAGGAACATTATCAACAGAGTGGGTCATTGCTTGCATGCAAACAGCACAAACAAACTGCATAAGAGTGCAAAAACACATCAAACTTTACAACAACCCCACCCCCCTAGAATTTAACCAGGCTACCCCAAATAAATAACAGATGATAGCCCTGTGTCTGTGCAACAACATGACACCCAGCCAGGCACAACCCCTCCTCAATTTCAGGGACACAATGAGCTTTGGAAGACAGGGGTAAGCGAGGGAACAAAAACTCAGCAAATCTGCACTCTAGCACAAAGCATAGTCTTTAGAACAACCTCACCCCCAGGAATTTAACCAGACTACCCCAAATGTATACCAGATGATAGCCCTGTCTCTGTGCAACAACATGAAACCCAGCCAGACACAACCCTCTGTCAATTTGAGGCAGACATTGAGGTTTGAAAGACAGGGATAAGCCCCGGTAAAAAAAGTCAGCAAATCTGCACTCTAGCACAAAGCATAGTCTTTAGAACAACTCCAACCCCCAGGAATTTAACCAGGCTACCCCAAATGCATACCAGATGATAGCCCTGTGTCTGTGCAACAACATGACACCCAGCCAGACACAACCCCCTCCTTAATTTGAGGGAGACATTGGGCTTTGAAGGACAGGGGTAAGCCCAGGTACAAAAACCCAGCGAATCTGCACTCTAGCACAAAGCATAGTCTTTACAACAACCCCACCCCCCTGGAATTTAACCAGGCTACCCCAAATAGATCCCAAGAGCGTGGCGCAGGGCAAGGGAGCAGCACGACACCCAGCCCGACACAACCACAACAAAATTTCAGGGAGACATTGAGCTTTGAAAGACAGGGGTAAGTGACGGTACAAAAACTCAGCAACTCTGCACTCTAGCACAAACCATAGTCTTTAGAACAACCCTACCCCCCCCTGGAATTGAACCAGGCTACCCCAAATGCATACCAGATGATAGCCTGTGTCTGTGAAACAACAGGACACTTAGTTCGACGGAAGCCCCCCTTAAAAAAAGTTAGATGGCCCAACAGGGTCAACAGCCCGGCCCTAGGGGCCGGCCTGTTGAGTGGTTAGTCCTAAAGAGGGAGGTTGTTATTTTTACACTAAAAGTACCAGGGCTTTAAGGAAATTAAGTTTTGAAAGATCGCCTGCAATGTGCTGGACTTGACTTAAGATTCCAGGCGGTTAAGCTTTATTTACGGTATCACTTCATTAAAAATGCTCTTCCAGTGAGCCGTTTACATCAAAAAATTTTCAGGGAAACTACATTAATGCTAAAATATATCTATATATTAAGAAAATCTATCCTATAATTAATTACACAAAAATCAAAATAACTAAAATACAACTAAAATAAATTCTATCTGAACTCCCTCAAGGCAATCCCTGGTTCAAGACAAAGACAGGGCAGACTTGAAAGAGTTGAGATTTATCTCGTCTTTAAGCACATTTTCTAGGCCATTCCACATGACTGCCCCCCTATAGCTAAAAGCCCGCTTAGCAGCTTCAGTAGGGGGCCTTCGTACAAAAATGTTGTTTGAGGCTCCTCGCACGTTGCAGGAATGAACCCCAGAGGTTGGTTTAAACATGTTCTTTAAACTCTCAAGGTAAAGGTTATTTAGAGATTTAAAAACACTTATTGCGAGCTGTTTAGAGCGTCTTTGCTCAAGGGTATCCCATCTCAAGTCTTGGAGGATATCCGCAGGTCTTGTATTATAATCACTAAATGTTATAATTCTACCAGCCCTATTTTGCAATCTCTGGAGTCTGTCACACAGGCCTTTTCCCATATCCCCAGACTTCGGAGCAATAATCAAAATAAGGAGCGACTAAAGCATCATACATTTTCAGTAGGGTTTGGCGAGGCACCAGGGAACAAATACGTTTTAAGGCCCCTATACCTGCAGATACCTTTTTACAGATGGTATCTACATGGGATTGCCACCCCAATGCCTCGTCAACCTCTATTTCCAGATATCTATAACTAGTCACCCGAGTCAATTGTTGACTATTAACAGTAACGTCACCATTTAAATGCCTTAGTCGGTAGTGGCTTCCAATTATCATATATTTTGTCTTTTTGACATTTAATGTGAGTTTATTGGATATTAGCCACTTTTGAACCTCATCCAAGTCTTTGTTTAACTTTTCTTCAAGGGTTGCGGGGTCATAAGCGGAAAGGGTAAGCGAGGTGTCCTCAGTATACATGAATGCAGATGATGACAGCTCGCATTCTTGTAGGTCATTTCTATAAATGAGAAACAACAAGGGTCCAAGTACAGAACCTTGTGGGACCCCACAACTAACAGGAAGATAGTCTGATAGAGTTCCATTTACATAAGTACTCTGAAAGCGATTTGATAGGAATGATTTGAACCACTGAACTGCATGTAGGTCGAGACCATAAAGCTGCCGTTTTTTTAACAATATGCTGTGGTCAACCGTATCAAAGGCTTTCTTAAGATCCAGAAAAAGTACACTGTTAATTAGGCCTTCATCAACATTTAAGTACCAGTTGTTAGTAGCTTCAAGCAAGGCAGTCAAAGTGGAATGCGTCGGTCTGAAACCATGCTGAGAAACTGTCAGCAAATTATTGTGAGTTAGGTACTCATAAAGTTGTTTGAAAATAACCTTTTCGATTATTTTACTGACAACTGGTAGAATAGATATAGGTCTATAGTTGTCAGGATCAGACTTAATATCCTCCTTATATAAAAGCATACTTTGGAAATTTTCCACTCGTCTGGAAAATACCCACACCTAATGGATAGGTTAATTATATGGGTGAGAGAAGGCACGATTTAAAAGCCTTGCAGAAATACCATCTAAGCCCTTAGCCTTGTCGACTTGAAGGGAACTCACTAAACGGTGAACAACACCGCAGTGAGTCTCGTTCAGGATAAAACTAGAATCTGATGGCGTAATGTAGTCCTCGAAACAAACACTAGTTTTGGGAATATTATCGGCTAACCTAGGCCCAATGTGAGTAAAGTGATAATTAAGAGCATTAGAGATTTCTAATGGGGTAGTACTTGAGTTATCTCCAACATCTATTCTATTTATTTCAGTTGTTGGTAAATCTCGGCCCACTATTGAATTTACTCCTTTCCATGATTTCTTAATGTCCCCTAGATTTGTTTCGAAGTACCCTTTATAGTAGTTAGTTTTTGCTTTCCTGATATTAGCATTTACATTGTTTCGAGCCATCTTATACTCGGTCCAATGAGCATCTGAATTGTTGATAATTGCAGCCCTTTTCAGTTTGTCCCTCTGAAACATCAACCTTTTTATCTCTGGTCTTAGCCAGGGAGCATAATTATTTCTTACTTTCCTTTTACGTTTTGGAGCATGGAAGTTACATATTTCTAAAAACAGACGTGACCAAATTTCCCAGGCACGATTTGGATTATCTTCCAGATGAACTAGGTGCCAAGGTGCTAGGTTAAGGTCAGCGTGGAATGATTTAGCATCAGAATTCCTAAATTGTCGCGACTCCACGATCTTTGGTTTCCCTTTGGGAATACAAAATTTTCTAACTCCATAGATAAGAGAATGGTCACTTATTCCGATGTGGCAGACCCCAGAATGTGTAAAAAGGAATAAATCAATAGTAGTCGCGGGTTTTTCAGTGATTCGGGTATCTTTATTTATCAGCTGGTGGTATTGGTAAAGGTTGCAAATTTCCAGAAGATTCTTTGTATGTGATTCTAGTGGGCAGGCAGCCACATTACAATTTAAATCCCCCAAAATATTTACCTCTAGCCTCAGCGATTCGAATCGCTGAACCAGAAGTTCAAAATCCTTCATTGCGTCTACATTAGAACGTGGTGGTCTATACCACGTACTCACAATAAAAGATTTAGCCTTGGGTTTGATTACCTTAATGTCAATCCACTCGAGGCTTTCCCACTCGAGATCAAATAAACGTTCATAATTGATAGTATTCCGGATATAAAGGGCGACACCCCCTCCGTCTCTGTTTCTATCACTTCTCTCCAGGGCGTAGCCTGGTACTGTAACTTCGCCACTAGATATAGTATCATCGAGACGAGTTTCATTAACCGCAAGAATATCAGTACATTTCGAATTCATATAAATCCGCAATTCCTCGATATGGCCGGGAATACTAGTAATGTTAAGGGCAGCTAACTTAAAAACCCAATTTTTGGATAATTCACTTAACAGATCAGCATTTAACGGAGACGAGCCGTATGTGAAATGACCCTCTAAATCTAACTTGCCGACGAGGTCCGAATTATCTTGTTCAGAGTTTGTGCTAGCAACCAAAGAGGGTCCCCCTTTCGCTTGTGGTTTCCTGCTTTGATCTTTGCTTTCAATGCCTGCCTTATAAAATTCGAGGCTAGAATTTTCACGCCATCACCGTTCAAGTGGATACCTTTGTTTTTGTTCTTTAGGTGTTCAACTTTGATACGGGCATTATCAATAAACAACCAGCCCCTGGAGACGCAGAAAGCTTTTATCGTGTGATTTATATGCCTAATCTTCTCATTCGCATTTTCATCTCTCTGGCTTATTAACCCCGAAACCGACACCTTGATCGAAGGTCTATTTTTAATCGCTTCCCCTGCCATTTCAGTTAGACCCTTTATTACATCTTCAGGCTTAGATTCATTCAAATCATTCGTTCCAGCATGAATTATGACACTGTCATAAGCAGTGTGCTGCAGCGGAGGAGTGAGCTGATCTTTACTTGCAGTTATCTTGGCGCCCCTCGAACAAATTTTCTTAACAGACTGAGACTTGGAGAGTTTTTGCTCTTCAATCGCTTTGATCATAGAATCACAGATCAACAAGACACTCCTCTTACCTTTGGATTGTTGAGTACCTGATTGTTCAGCTGAGTGTTCAGTTGTTTGAGGAGAGGCATGAGCTGCCTTTTTATTTTCATCAGCTTGATCATAGATTTTGTTCGAACTCAGACTGGGGGTTGATTGTTTTACTCTTTTCGATGATTAGGCTTGAGTCCATTCCCCGTCAGCTTGTACATTAAGTTCGGGAGCTGTGTGTTTGGTTTCATTTGCAATTTCGCTACTAAGCAATCGTAGGGCCGTCAATAAGCTTTTGTTTTCAAATTGGATGGCTCTAGATTCACGTTTTAGAGAATCGTACTGCATTTCTAATTCTTGTAACTTCTGTTTTAGGTCTCTGTTTTCATCGTGAAGTCTGGTTTCATCAGATCTTCTCGCTGTTGAAAAATTTGAAAGTTCAGCGAATTCCGAATGCAGTTTGCCAACCTCGGGTCTGAACTCGCGAATTGCGGCGTCTATCACCTTGGAACATTTGGTATGAGCATTCAAGTCCTCGGTAATGTCCTCCGAAGTCAGTCTCATGTTCTTCAACACCTTCTTGTTGCTCGTGGTCATCGTCACTTACGAAATTGGTTTGAATATTTGATGCTGCAAAATGGCTTTGTTCCTCGCTACCTGTACTTGCAAGTTGTAGTAGCTTCTGGCCGATAACTTCGGATTTAGACCCTTGTACATTGAGTGTTTTCGTCCCAGGATAAAAGCTTATGGCGGCACCTTCGGCTTTCATCGTATGAAAGCCGCCATTGTTCGTCGTGTAGCTCCACGTTCCTGTGATTTTCAAATACCCGTCTACAAACAATTTCAGCTCTTCAAAATCTCCTAACCATTTAAACTTAGACCTATGCCCAGTTTTAGTGATGGACAAGTACTTATATCCTTGGCTTGGTTGTCTTAAGCCAGATTTCGCGGAGAGTTCAAAAGCACGTGCGTTCTCTTCTGAACCCATATCTACTCTACCCCAGTTTTCAAAATTCCAGGTAGATATCTTCAATTGTCGACCTTTCTGCATCTTAACTGTCAATTCCTACTGACATTTTAATTTTTTACAGTCAAAGGCGCATTTGGATAGTGAATCCCTGGAGATATATACCTCGTTTTTTGAAAACCGGCCTACTAAAACATGTCAGTCTCTCGCACTGATTGGTAATTTAATGGCCCTTGTTACTTGAAAAGTAAAATACCACCTCCAAAAGAAATTATTGAATACATGAGCTTCCATTTGATAGAATCGTCTGTCTTGAACGTAACAAAAGTGAAGTTTTCCTCATTAATCTGGAAAATAAGGTATTTTAAGGGGCAATTTTTAGTGTCGGTGTCACCGATTGCAAAGCCATTTCCCCAGTTCACCCCAGTTTTCATTGAAGCTGGTCTCCCAAAAACAATCTAAGCCAACACTTCTCAACAAAACCAAGTCGTAAAACCACCAGTTTAACTGCTTGCTGACTAGGAACATTATCAACAGAGTGGGTCATTGCTTGCATGCAAACAGCACAAACAAACTGCATAAGAGTGCAAAAACACATCAAACTTTACAACAACCCCACCCCCCTGAAATTTAAGCAGGCTACCCCAAATGCATACCAGATGCTAGCCCTGTGTCTTTGCAAAAACATGACACCCAGCCAGACACAACCCTCTGTCAATTTGAGGCAGACATTGAGCTTTGAAAGACAGGGGTAAGCGACGGTACAAAAACTCAGCAAATCTTCACTCCAGCACAAAGCATAGTCTTTAGAACAACCCTTCCCCCCTGGAATTTACCCAGGCTATCCCAAATGCATACCAGATGATAGGCCTGTGTCTGTGCAACAACAGGACACTTAGTTCGACGGAATCCCCCCCTCAAAAAAAATAAGCTGGCCCTATGGGGGCAACACCCGGACCTACGGCCAGCCTGTTGCCCCCTTCGTGCAGATTTCCTGGAATTTCCACTGATTTCTGTCAATTCCAGGAAGTTATTTGGAGCCCATGGTTAAGAGCTGAGAGTGGTTAATCCTGAAGAGGGAGGTTGTTATTTTTACACTAAAAGTATCACGGCTTTAAGCAAATTACGTTTTGAAAGATTGTCTGCAATGTGCTGGACCTGACTTAAGATTTCAGGCATCCCGGTTTTCAAAACTCCAGGTAGATATCTCCAATTATTGACCTTTCTGCATCTCAACTGTCAATTCCTACTAACATTTTTATTTTTTATAGTGAAAGGCGCATTTGTATGGTGAATCCCTGGAGATATACACCTGTTTTTTTGAAAACCGGGCTACTAAAACATGTCAGTCTCTCGCACTGATTGGTAATTTAATGGCCCTTGTTACTTGAAAAGTAAAATCTCATCTCAAAAAGAAATTATTGAATACATGAGCTTCCATTTGATAGAATCGTCTGTCTTGAAGGTAACAAAAGTAAAGTTTTCCTCATTAATCTGGAAAATAAGGCATTTTAAGGGGCAATTTTTAGTGTCGGTGTCACCGATTGCAAAGCCATTTCCCCAGTTCACCCCATTTTTCATTGAAGCTGGCCTCCCAAAAACAATCTTGTGCACTACGTTTCATTCAGTTTGTTGTCTACTCCAAGCGGAATCCTGTTGTTTATCGAACCGCGAAAAAAGTAGTGTTTTGCTTACTATTTAAGTTATTATGCAAGCCTTAACCAGGCACTCTTTCGCTGCAGTTCACACAACTTAAAAATTTCTAGACTAAAATGACACCGGTATGAAACTTCGCGAAGTCAGTTTACTGAAGAAATGTTCTAAAATTTGCGTCATTTTAAATTTGGACTCGTTGGAATGCTTCTAGGGGCCACTAACTTACTGCCCGGCGTCAGATAAAGGCTTTTAATCGGCCTTTGAATGAGTTTTGTTGTTTTAAATTGCCAAGTAGTAGAATGAGTTGAAATTTTTGCTAACGCGGTTTTCAAAAACCCAGGTATATATATCTGTCTAATTTCGTTAAAAGGTGGCCACTAGGTTTTCGCCTGGCGCCGGGCGCAGCCCGGCTCCAGGCCAGTCCGGTGCCCAAAAATGTAGGGGGCTTGCCGTCTTGGTCGGTACAGCTGCATAGCCCAGGGACTGCCCTAACAGTGGGTGGGTGGATCAGGCCCTGGGGTCAAAACTAGTGGGGTAGGGAGGGGGCTGTTTTGACACAACCCCTTCAGTAGGCAACGGTGTTCAGTGCAGGCTTTGACTGGCGAGTACCTTGGTCTTAATTTGCCCTTGCCAGCTGAATCAGGCCTCTGCTGAGAATGATTATCATGATAATTGCAGAGCTCAGTGGGAGGTGCAGACGGTCATCCATTGTCCTGGGTGGGGAGGGTCAAAGTCTTAGTACCAAGGACGCACTTAGCATAGGACCCTTAGACACTTACGGAAGCCATCTTTTGATAAATCCAGTCAGATGATTAAGGTCCTTTCTGCAGTCTCGTCCGGGGAGGGCAGTGCTACCTGCCTGGGCAAGTACTTGGTGGCACCACTCCAGCCAGTGTCTTGCGACAGCCATTTTGTGCTCAATATCTGTCTGATTTCGTTAAAACGTGGCCACTAGGTTTTCGCCTAGCGCCGGGCGCAGGCTGGCTCCAGGCCAATCCGCTGCCCAAAAATGTAGAGGACTTGCCGTCTTGATCGGTACAGCTGGATAGCCCAGGGACTGCACTAACAGTGGGTGGGTGAATCAGACCCTGGGGTCAAAGCTAGTGGTGTAGGGAGGGAGCTGTTTTGACACAACCCCCTTCAGTAAGCAACAGTGTTCAGTGCAGGCTTTGACTGGCGAGTACCTTGGTCTTAATTTGCCCTTGCCAGCTGAATCAGAACTCTGCTGAGAATGATTATTATGATAATTGACGAGCTCAAAGGGAGGTGCAGACAGTCACCCATTGTCCTGCCCTGCCCTAACAGTGGGTGGGTGATATCTTTGTTGCGGACCAAGGCAACTGTAGGCCTTGGCCTCGACAGGATGTCTTTCGCCTCGGAAACCGCAGCTCACCTTTCAGTACCGTCTGCAAAGCCAATCGATAAGGTGCGGACTCTAAAATCGGAAGGGGTGAGGTACAAGCGGTACGGCACTCTAGGGAATTCGATCGTCACAGTTTGGTGGTCCAGTGTCTGAGCGGCAACGAACAACGCATCGCCTCGAAAGAGCGAACGCCGATCGGTGTAGCAAGAATATGTAAAAAGGGTGAGGATGTAATCAAATTCTGATGCGGTACACCCTTGGCATACACGTCCACCCCCATCGTCGGGCAAGATAAAGCCTGAAGTCGTCATGGCTGGGTTCAAGGAATAAAAATCAGTACCCTTGCCTAAAAGTATGACCCAAGGCTGGTGTTGTACAAAACCCACTTGGTGTCGGTTTTGATTTTCGGGGCTTAAGAAAGATACTGCAATGGTCATAGACGTTGAGAACCTTATCCACAGTAAAAAGTGATGAGCAGGCGTTCACAATGCACAAGACCTGTTCGTTTTTGTTTGGCCAGGATGTTCCGATCAATTCTGTCAACCTCGTGCCACCGACTCCTCTCACTAGACCGATCGAATTTGATGATGATCTCCGATTCCTCTTACTGGACGTCAACGCCTCCGACGGCAATTACACACACTGGATCTCGCCCGATACAACCGAAAGGACAATCTTGGAACTGTATATGCTACTCTACATGATCAATCGAATCTTTTACCACGCAGAGTTAAAATGTTGTTTCTTCGTGCAGCAAAAAGAAAGGCTCGTACCAGGTAATTCACTAGTGGGCAAAGAAGTCGTGGCCGGACACATATCGTACTTTGGCTTTGACAGGCAGGCCATTGACGAGTTATTTCCTACGTGCTTGACTTTGGCCATGATGATCAATGCCAAACATCTCAATGTCCGACGATTGTTTGTTAGCCCCTTGTGTCTGGACGTCTTGAAGACCGAAGCGTCGATTTTCGATGCCGTCAAGGGACTTGCAAATTGAACGACGGGCGCGAATGGCAGAGATGTGCCGGGGTCTTTGGGTCTTACACAACCTTAAACGAATTGAGGAGACATTTGATGACGTATCACAGAATATGTCATATTCAAACAGAAGCTGAAGGCCTTGACGAAGACAAGACCGATGCCACTGGGGTCGAGCCACTCGAAGGATGCCATTACAACCAATTGCGAGGCACCATGCTAGCGCTTTAGAACACAGACGACACGACGGAATTTGCCCAAGGATTTCTCACCCTGTTGTCAGGGCCTTTTCTTTTTGAGCATTCGTTTCGCATAGCTCGGTCTTACAGAGAGATGAGAGACCTGGTCGCTCTCAATGGCAAAGACACCGGACTAGACGAATCACAGATTCCACATGCCATTTCAAGTGAACGGAAACAGTTTGCTCGTGCGATCATACACGTCACGGGGGCTCCGAGGCTCACAGTCAAAAGTCAAGCACTTCTCGAATGTTTGCAGAATGCAGCCCATAGGCACAACTGGCAGAGTCTGTTCGGTCCGACGTCAGAGGGAGCGTCGTTTCGATTTCGATTGGACTTCACGAGTGGCATCGCCTGGCGAGTTTTGGCCGAGCACTTACTTGGGCCTCTCGCTAGTCCCCTGTACACGATGGCGTTTCCCAAAGACGTGATCGACAAGGGCATGCAGTTCTTGGGAGAATTCATCGACCAGATATCGCTTGACAATATGAATGAAATGCAACGTCAGCTCGAAGCATACAGCTTGATGATGAGACAGGAAAGGGTAAGGGATATAACAGACGCACAAGGTGGTGTGATTCAACGTCAAGGAATGATCGATGACGTTACTCGCAAGTATCCACTTTTTAAAGACGTGCGTAACCTCTTGGAAAAATTAGCAGATGCGTTCCAACCGGGCAGCAAAGTCAAGGAACTTTACCAAGGACCTTTTGCCCAGTTAGCCGGCAAGTTGATCGAGGATGCCGTGCGAAACCCAAACAAGCCCTGGGTAAATCTTTGGAGTC